CACGCGGTAGCGTAGTTATTTGAGGCACTATGCTACAAGCCCGAAGGTCGCGGGTTCAAGTCCCGATGAGGTCATTGGATTTTTTTCAGTTCACCTAATCCTTCCAGCCGCACTATGGCCCTGGGGTTTACTCAGCCTCTAACAGAAATGAGTACCAGGAATTAATTAAATAATTTTCCTGGGGAGTAAAGCGCGGCCGGCGTGTAAGCCTGACAAGCCGATTGTCTAGAATCTAGATAGTGTGGAACCCTCAACGTCTCACAACCCTATGGGCCTTCACGGCCTGGTACAGGGATAGCTTTACTTTTTTATTTTTTTATTTAAGCACAGAACGCCGACGAACAGGAGGTTAAGAAAAATAAATTAAAACTTTAGGGATAGAATAAAAGAAAGGGAATATAAAAACATGGAAAATAAGAACGAGAGAAAAACAAAGAATAGAAATAAAGAAAGAAAACGCGAAGAAAGAGAGTACGGAAAAGAGAAAAAGAAAGAAAAATGATCTGAAGGATATGAAAAGAGAAAGAAAGAGCATATACACCCACAGATGAAAGTGGAAAAGGACAGATACACGAAACAGAAGGCATTAAAGAGAGATGAAGAGAACGGAAATGAGCTGACAGAGCACTGAGGCAAATTTCTTGGTGCAGTGACTGCCCACAGCGGCACGTTTTACCGTCCTATTTACGCAGCGCCAGTGGAAATAATAACCACGTCTCTGAAATTTATAAAACTATATCTGTGCATAAGGCGAGGGAGAGCTGTACTGAAAATGGAGACCGACCGAGAGGGAATTCAGGAAACCTCACATAGCGGCGGTTTTTGTGTCTACAGTACAACTGCCCGCGGGGGCCAGTTGAGTACGTCATCTAAAGCCATATTCAGTGTCTACATCTTACACCAGGGCCACAAACGTAAAACAAAACCAAAATTAACGTACAATTGAATTATTTCTCTATAAATAAAGCGAAGAAATGTAATGTCCTCGCCGCGTCAGCTGCAATCAGTTCACAGGAGCACCGATGGAAGCGCCACTTGACGGCATGAATGTGCAAGCTGGGCGAATGCTAACGGCATAGGCCGACTTCTACATCATCCTTTGGACCGTGGTAGGAAAGCAGGCACATTTGACATCAGGCATTGCTACTAATCATATAAAACTACACTGTACATAACACTGCGGTTTAGCTTCCAAACCAAGAGCGATATTCTGTTCGATGAAACCTTCTTGGACGATAAGCCGCGTCAATTAAGTTTCGAAGTTAAACTTTCGGATGTCTCCTAAGACTCCCTTATTAGGAAATGATAGAAAACACAACATCTCCCAAACGGCGAACTTCTGACGCGGATGGTCCCATGAAAGGGTTTAATCAGTTTTAGTCAAATATTTGTACTATTATTTATTTCTGTTATCTTACGTTTCCCACCGAAGAAATAACGGTCCATATTTGTATCAGACAACCAAGATCGTCTGCACTTCTTTCATAACAGTTCTTTTATTGCGTCATCTTATGTTTTTATGCATTTGTGATTTATTTAACGAAACTTCCAATGTCTGAGGTTGCATTGCATGCAATGAGATACAGGATGATTCAGAGATTAAAAAATGGAAAGGATGTAAAAGGAAGATGGACTCATTTCTCTAAGAACTGAGGATAACCACGAAAATATTCAGATAATACAGCCGATCTCCGGGTAGAGATTTGAAACCATGATCTCCCGAGTAGGAAGCAAAAGTGCTACCCACTTGAATATAACGTTAGATCAGCTGGTATTTTAGTCAGGAAAACATGCAGCCTATCAGCACTCAATCATTTATTCAGTCAATCAGATATGTTGGCAGTTGGTCACTCGATGTTCTGTTCAGTCAAGTCTGTGCAAGGACACAGAAGATAACAAGCAACCTCGGTGGTCACGTAAAACGACGGAAAATAAACCGAACGTCATATACGTAACGAAAAGGAAATTAACGATTTAACCAAGTCCGTGAGGAGAATTCATCACTGACGGCTGTTCCAGCTCATATCTGGGCATAGCAATTTTCNTTTCTACCAGAAGTTTTCCTTTTTGGGGGGGGGGGGAGGACTACGATGATTTCTTTTTTGAAAATGGTCGTAGAAGTGCTGACACTTCATTGCGGAATTTGTAAAACAATAATTATACGATTTAACAGTTACCTATCGCCTATTCCCATCGCGGCGGCGTCGGTTCGATCCCGGGTCTGGTCAAGTGGGATTTGTGGTGGACAAAGTGGCGCTGGGGCAGTTTTCTAGGAATACTTCGGTTTCCCCTGCCAATCTTCATTCCACCAAATGCTACACAATCACCCTCACCTATCATCTGGGGCTGGCCGCACTACAAGGGACTTAGTCCCACCCCACTAGCAACAAAAAAAAAACTATCGCCTTAAAATTTTCCGCCAACAAAAATTTTCAATACGTGAAAATTACGATAAATGATATGAACTCCGTCCCAAGTGCAAACAATATATTATATGTCCTTGATCTTGCTCTCCTTTACACTACATGTTTCGGCCTCAAACGGCCATCATCAGGTGTATACACTCACGTTGCTGTTACTCTGCACTTAGTTTAAAATTTAACATTTAAAAACACATTGTTCCTTTCGTTGTTATTATCAACATCTACTGCGTTGATATCTGTCTGGGTTATAGATTATTTTTGTTACACACGTTAATTCTGATTTCCCTGTAATAGCACTATAAAACCTTTAGTTCTAATTTTAAAATCCTTTAAAATTTAGAGAAAAACAATTTTAAAGGATTTTAAAATTAGAACTAAAGGTTTTATAGTGCTACTACAGTGAAATCAAAATTAACGTGTGTAACAAAAATAATCTATAAACCAGACAGATATCAACGCAGTAGATGTTGATAATAACAAGGAAAGGAACAGTGTGTTTTTAAATGTTAAATTTTAAACTAAGTGCAGTGTAACAGCAACGTGAGTGTATACACCTGATGATGGCTGTTTGAGGCCGAAACATGTAGTGTAAAGGAGAGCAAGATCAAGGACATATAATATATTGTTTGCACTTGGGACGGAGTTCATATCATTTATCGCATAGAGTGCAACAAGATGCTTAAATATAATAACGTGAAAATTAACGGGCACAAACACGAAGTTAAAACCGGCTCTAGTCAGCATCGAAACAAACTTTCTTTTCGTCAGGAATGTAAATCAGCGTAGGATTTGAGGTTCTCACCGCGGTTGTTCTGAGGAGCCCTATCTTTTAGGATATGACGTCGTGCAGTCCGTTGAAAGTCAACCGAAGTTTCGGAGGAACACATCGCCTCTATCTTCAGAGCCGAATAATAATCCAAGCAAGAGACCAGCGTGACGAAAGTGGCAAGCAGGGCTAGCTGCTACCTGCCTCAAGCTCGTCTCTTGCTTCGCTTGTCCTTTCACCATGAAGATGGAAATGACGTTCCTCCAAAAGGTCGATTGGCTTTCAACGGACTATACGGCGTCATATTCCAGTAGACGGGGCTCTTCATATTATAAAGCCCTCAATAACAACTCTGGTAGTCCTGCAAGAGCCAGTTTAGTTACGAGTCTAATGGCTTTCTATATAAACCACCAAGTCGACTGGAATATCTGTATTAAATTAAATGTACGACGCTCTTACTACACGAGTACTACCGCGCATTTCTTTCATTTAAATAATCTCACGCCCTACACTAATTAATGGAGTAAACACACTGTGAATACACCTCCCTCTAAGTATTCACGCGAGAGAAAAGTCGCCTTCAATTAAATTTATATAGATCCACAGAAGCATATGTTATAAGCAGGGCCCGGATTTTGATGACCTAAAAATATTTAAAAAATGACCTATAAAATGACCGAAAAAATCCAGAAAAATTACCTAAAATATGACCCATAAATGTAATATGCAGGGCCCGGATTTTGGTGACCTGAAAATATTCAAAAAATGACCTATAAAATGACCGAAAAAATCCAGAAAAATTACCTAAAGGAGAAAAGAGAGAACACTTCGCTTCCATGTTATTCACATTTCAGAAAACATACGAAGAAAAATTCCGTAAAATGACCAAAAATGACAAGAAATGCCCTTAAAAGTCCAAAAAATTACCAAAAATTACTCCCAAAATGAAAAAATGACCTTAAACCTAAAAATGTCAAAAAATGACAAAAAATTACCTATAAAATTTACATTTCTGTAACCAGCAGCTCATATCCGAGATTTATATATTTCAGAGCATCGCATAGGATACAAGGAAAAAAAGATCACATGTCATCAAAATCCGGGCCCTGGTTATAAGCATAAGCTCAATCAACAAGAGAAAAGCAGAACAGTGCAACAGCAACACCTTTTATAGTCTGCGCTACCTGTGGAGCTGACCAAGCTTCTGCTGCCTCTTGCCACTTAGCCCTTGCTTGCTCGCTTCACAAAAGCATACAGAAGCACAGAGTGATGCATAAAGCAATTACACCTTCGTACTGTCATGCCCAAAACACATATACCCCATAAATAAAAATGTAAAGGTAAAGTTGGCCCTGTGCTTAACTACTCAAGCAGTACGCCATGAAGGCGTATGGGGGAGTGGATGTATAAATGCTCATTTTCTTGAGCTCGGAACTAGTTGGAGGTGAGTGGTCAGCTTCACGCCCCGGCCGCTCTACCCCTGGGAAAAGAGCCCCAGTGTCCATTGGACAGAAGATTGTGTGGACCCCAGAGCCTGTGTGGACGATTTGCAGAAGAGAAAATTATTGACCCTATAGGGATTCGAACTCTGACCCCTCAGTCGTCAAGTCCGTAGCCAGTCGCTATACCGACTATGCTACCCCGGCTCCTACACCATAAATAAACGAACATAAAAATAAAATACATGTTCCCGTTCTTCTTGATGTGAACATGGGAAAGCCAAGGAAACGCAAAAAGGTAGATAGTGTGATTCTCTGGTAAACATTTGTATCAATGTGTGAAGAGAGGGCCGGATGAAATCATGTACTTACCATTAGGCGGAAATTCATAGAAGTAAGCGGACCTCGGACTAAGACAGCTGAAACAAAAGAGAAAAATCGGTCACAGAAGGGATTCCCAATAGCTTCCTTTAGACGTGTTCAAAATTAAAAATCGGAACATTGCTATGTTATACATTCGAACCACATTTTGACCTTCTGACTTACGACACAAAGTAGTCTGGTAGGAAGGTAGGAACGTTTCAGAGGAATACACTGCTTCCCTCTTTTCTTTTCTCCTTTGGTTCCACAGCCCCAATTTGGGCCTTGGCCTACTTCCATGAAACTCTCCGTTTTACTTCGGTTTACTAGATCTTAGACAATCGGTATGACTCCCTGGGCGGTTGATTAACTCGTCGCAAGGCATCTACCTGCATACAAACACAGAAAAACGCGGACACACACACACACACACACACACACACACACACTGAACATCCATGCTCTGAGTGGGATTCAAACCCACGTTCCCGGCTTCCGAGCAAGCGAAGACATATTGTCTCCCGCTTCAAGGATAACGTGACATTCTGACAATGACAGCAGCAGGTTCCTTCACAACCCTGATTTCCGCCTACCAGACTACATGGCGTCATAAGGTGGAAAAACGGCTATGAAAATTTTAAGTCTCATATGGACAACACTGTACAGGCATAACAAGGATGGCTGCCCACGTCCTCATTCTGAGAACAATATACACCATTTTGGAAGATTCTACATGCGCCGACCAAGGGATCTGTGTTCAGAAAGTGTCAGAATTCGAATCTCGGCCAGGACACCGACTTATCTAATAATTTTCGGGAATTTCCGCAGTCCCTCCACGAAAATACCGGGATACGAAAAACAAGCAACGACCATTTCCACCCACATGCTTCCCAGGTGAAGCCGTACAGCCTGAGTTGCTTACAGTATTGTTAAATAAATTGCGAGCAACGTACAGTGTCATTATATAAATTACAAACAAATAAACTGATGCTACGCAACATGTGAAGGTGGGATGGCGTCGTTAAATAATGCAAGAAACTAGATTCAAACCGTTGTTTCCTGGTACATATGCAATAAGCTTGCCAGGCTGGATCATATCAACACGTAATCACTCTACCAGCAATACCTCCCACAACTTATGACGCAAGAGGTAATACCAAAACACACAGCGTCACTAATCGGTATATACAGCACAGTTATTATTATCCTTATCACCGCTGCCATCCCTCTGTATTAGTGCAGCAAACACTAATCATCTAGGTGTGTTAGGGTCTGTATCAAACCATCAATTACATAATCAGTAGTTTGACACGCTAATGCGCCGGGCAAATCTGCTTCACGCCCAACACGACTGACCACGGTATAGCCCATGTAAAGCACAGTCACTTTGCACGAGACATTGATACAATAATTGCGGAACTATATAATCTGACCAAAGTCATTAATATGAAGATGATATTTCTAGAACCAACAAGAAAAATAAATTCATAACTGGTCTACACAGCAATCACTGAACTGGCTGGCAACATTCTTAACAAGTCAAAGTACAGTGGTTACTGGATTTTTATTTATGAGAACTATAAATTCTGCCAAAAGGGTGTATTTATGGGCCTCACGTGACTCTAGGAAGAAACAGCGATAATTTACCTAAACAGAATTAACTAGCTGACAATTGTAATGAGAAGTAGAGTATGTTTTGCGAGGTAGACTGGATTTTTAAATGTTTTCTACATAAATTTAATGCATCAAAGGAAGAAATACGTGACCAATAAGGCTCAAACTACAACCCAAAATGATGATTTGACGTAGGTCATTAGCCTCATCTTCGAAATTAAAATCGGCCTTATAGAAAATTGTATGACTGTTCTCAGACGATATATTTCCTACATACCTAAATGCTAATCCCCCATTCATGGACGCTAAATGATTCCATAAAGCGTCGTCGATTAGCGAACCGTCAGATAACGAACCCAATTTTAGCATTTGCTTTGCTTTTCATTGTAGGGCTTAAATTCCACTAATTTTATTTAAACAGCTGCAAAATGTTATTAAAAACAGTAAGACTGCACTACCTCAGTACCTCATGGAGCTGAACCCTTCTTGAGGAGCCGCCAATTCTGCAGCTACTCAAGAATTTCCCAGCATTTTATAGAACCCGAAGTTGCATTACCGTGTTCACACGAGCAATCCACTGGTCCATATCCTGAGCCAGATCAATCCAATCCACACCATCCCATAATATCTCTAAGACTGCACTACAACAGTACCAAAATGGCTGGTCGACGCGACTGAGTTTGCAAACATCACCAATGCACATGCGCATTAGCGATCGTCGATTGACTGTGGAACGTCAGTCGTTTGGGTATTTGGATCATATTGTAGGAGCATTGATGGATCCAATCGTCGATTACCGGGGGGATTACTCACAAAAAACAGAAGCGTAATTCGATTAAACAAACTGGTATGTTAATATGTCTCTCAAATATCTGTAAGTTTTGTCGAAGTAATTTTTGCATAAGATGTGTTTTTATACGAATAAAATGAATTTACATCATTGTGGAATTCCCCACGGCCTTTAGTCTCGGTTTTCTAGACCGGAGCGACTACTTCTCCATTTAAGTAGCTCCTCAGTTATCGTCTGGAGGCTGAGTTGACCCCCGGTCCAGAAGCACTACTCCTCAGAGAATCTGGTAGCGCCCGGAACCAAACCCGGGACCTCTGGATCTGTAGTCAGGAACTCTGACCACTAGACCATAGACGCGGTCCAAGAAGAAATTATGCTGTGAAAGGAACACTTCATGTGTGATTTGAAGTGACAGTAAGACTGTGATAAATCCGCTGCCAGGATAGGACTAGTGAAAGCTGATAACACAGATGCATGTGTAACGCTGAACTGTAAAGTGTGTACTTCAGCGATAGTGCTGTAATTGCCTGCAGTCCCCAGTTGTGTGAATAAAATGTCAATAAATCCAAACATCCAATCCAAGGTCCGTCTCATAAGTCACGCATAACTACCCCCATACGAGACAATTTAGCTACTGTATATGAGATATCAAAACGTAACAAGGCGCTATACTGTTAACATAATCTGAGCATCACTGTGGATAAAGCCGAATTCTTCCCAGGTAGTGGTCTGTACATCTCTGTTCCTGGGGCTTTAAAAGTTTCAGTAGTCCCTTTGATAAAACTCCGTGGCCTGTAGTCCGCAAGCGAACTATACCGACCGAGCGACCGCAGCTTGTCGACGAAATTAGTGACAACTTTTGCGGATAGAGGGTGTCACGTGGTCAGCGCGACGAACCGCCACGGCCGTTAATCTCGGTTTTCTAGACTGGAAGTTCCTTCGATACCGTTGAATAATTCGGGATTAAAATAATACAAATGACAACACAAGCTGAAAAGAACGGATAGACTGCTTTTGTGTTAACTACTGCAATAAAAAGTTTACAAATTATAAATAACATTGGAGACACCAAAAGCTTTTTTTAAGGTTCTCACACAAAATATCTGTTAAAGCAATCAGCGTTTAATGTTCTTGCCTACGGAACAGTGTAACGTGTTCACGTTAATAAAACATCAGAACAAAATAATGTTACAGAAACACGGACTCTGTACAAATTGTTTTATCATCATATGGGTAATTCCATGAAAATATGAAGGTAACATAATTACAAAGTAAAATGTAAAAGGGCTTTAATCACTGATGTAAAATAACAAAGAAAAATGTGATCAATGTAAACCATAAAAACGTTAGTTCGGGGGTTGTAGACTCTGTACAATAATACCGTACATAATTTTACGCAAACCCTCCCTCACAGATATGACAGTGCATTTTTGCACACTGTTGCAGGTCCACATCAGGCTGTACGGTGACAGCAGGAACCTAAACAACTTTACAACCTCTCCACACCTACAGCACGCTATAAAATATTCCTGTACAGTCACGAAAAAAATTGTGAAATGTTTCGCCGGCTGCGAATACGTACATTTTCCGAAAGAGCCTACCTTAAATGTTACTGGCTTGCCAAAGCTGTGAGCCGGCCGCGCTATAGCTCAAGCGGTAAGTCGCCGGCTTCCCACCGCGGCGGCCCGGGTTCGAGCCCGTGTCTGGTCAAATGGGATTTTTGGTGGACAAAGTGGCGCTGGGGCAGGTTCTCTCCGAGTACTTCGGTTTCCCCTGCCAACCTTCATTACACCAAATTCTCCATCATCATAATCAGCCGGGGCAGGCTACAATAGGCCAATCAGTGGCCGCCGTGCCGAGTGGACCCAGCTGGACCACCCCCAACTATGCGAATAAAAAAAAAAGTAAAAAAAGTTTATACTAGATTTGAGGTTCTCGCAAAGGTTAATATGAAAAGTAGTATTATCTGGAGCGTGGCACCCTGTAGTCCGGTAGATGTTCATAGACGTTTCGGAGGGCAGTGCCGAAACTATTATTATTATTATTATTATTATTATTATTATTATTATCATCATCATCATCATCGTCATCAGTCTGGAGCCACCCGCTCACGCTGGTTTCTCGCTCGCTGATTTTTTATACCCTGAAGATGGAGGGGATACCTTCCCCCGAAACGTCGGTTAACACAATATCTACATGGTGCCACAGCCAAGAAGACGGAATTCTTCATTTAAGAACGTTGACCAAATCCTATATTACGCTAACGCACAGAACACATAAAACAAGTATCACATGAATGCTTAAAAACACAGAATATGTGGACGTTTTCATCAGTGAAATCGTCGATCAATAAATACATCAGAATACTCCGGACACAAGACATGCACATCACACAAGCAACGTCGCAAAACGAAATATGAAAGGAAGTTCGCTTACCTCTGGTAGTTGACCTGCGGTGAAACGATCATCTTCTGTTGCTGCTGCCTGTGCAACATCTGTTTCCCATACACGCCGTACCCACAGCCGTATATCTCGTCTTCCTCCTTGTCACTAAGACAACTGGACGGCGAATACTTGCCGGGGACGTATATAGGCTGCGAGTGTGAAGTCGTAAGCCCATGATGACCCTAGGGTCAAGAACAAAGGCCCATTCATGAAGTGAAGGTACGGGCATAAGGAAACTCAAGATCGCCCTGAACAATCTTAAATAACGAAAGGTGTGACGGACAAAATACACAATAAACAGGCTGTTTTAAAATTCAATTTGTTACCGAAAATTCGGGGCATGCTACAAGCCGGAAGGTCGAGGGTTCAAGTCACGATGAGGTCACTGGATTTTTTTCAGTTGACCTAATCCTTCCGGCCGCACTAGGCCCTGGGGTTTACTCAGCCTTTAACAGAAACGAGTACCAGGAATTAATTAAATAATTTTCCTGGGGAGTAAAGCACGGACGGCGCGTAAGGCTGACAACCTTACCGCCATCTTTGAGCCAATTGTTTAGATAGTGTGGGACCCTCAACGTTTCAAAACCCTATGAGCCTTCACGGCCTGGTACAGAGATAGCTTTACTTTTTTTTTTACCGAAGATTCAATCACTTGGTTTCCACCATGAAACGAATACTGTGGAGTAAGGAACTGTGACAAAAATGTATTCCTCTGAACCTGCAACCCATTGAAAGCGATCATGCTCAGTTTTGGTGACGGCAAGACACACTGATTGCCTTGGTAGTTAGGCCGCAAATGTGCTCACGGTACCAGCACATGATGACAGACCAGACCATTTTGCAGTACTGATTATGTAAGTTGGGAAATTACGCATGGTATAACTTTTGTTTTGCCGATCACGGTGGCTGCATGGTCTGAAGCATGAACTGTCTTCGCCCACTCGTGGGTTCAAATCCCACTCAAGGCATGAATGACTGTGTGTGTTTATTCTGTTGGAGTTGTCTTGTGCGTAGGTGGCAGGTCTTGCGATGGGCTGATCCCACGTCTAAAGATTCCTACCATTTGTGTAAACAAGATTACAAAACTGAACAAGAAGCCAGGGTCAAACAAAGGGTTGTAGAGCCATTGATGGATGAATGACTTTTGTTTAATTCGCTCGAAAACAGTAAGACTTAAAGAAAAATACAAATGTATTTGATTTTAAAATGAGCTTAATTTTTCTCTATAACTTTTGTTCACAGATATTTTTCGCTTAGATTAATATTTAAAAGATTAAGCGAACAAATGCACGTATGACTTCATGTGTACGTTATCTGATCACATTTAAATCAAATATGGAATATTTTAACAATTTTCTTAAAGTTTCCAGTATATTTCAATATTTCAACACACATTCGTTTAGCGGATGTATGATTTTCATGTGTGTAGAAGGACAGAAGGACTGAGGGAACTTAGCTCAGGATACTTTCCGTCACGGTAACCCAAATACTGGAGGACGCAAAGGGGACAGAACGTTAATCCCCCCCCAGTACAAATACGACCCTCCCTGACAGAACTGAAGTTTACTCACCTGTGGGGAGTGTTGCCCGACGATGCTCCTAACAGGGCCCGTGGTGCTGGGGGAGTACGCGTCTGAAGGCGGAGTACCTGGAGTCGTGCCCACGAGGACCCTGATCCGAGGGGACAACTCTTCCCACTCTCGCCGTCGGAGATCCTCCAGGTGCTCCAAAACGTCTCCATAGTGAGTGTTGAACAGGTCCGCGTACCTCGAAGCAAGACCCTCCAAGTATCCGCGCTCACCCGACTGAAAACAAGAAACGCCGAAATTCTTATATCCAGTTCTGATCACGAAGATTTATATTTCTGTCGGTTATCAGTATGGACCGAAACGGAAGGATATTTTAGCTTTGCTGCGACAAAAGGAAGAGGTTGTACGGCCTCCATCTTCAGGGTATAAGAGATGCTAAGCGAGCAACAAGCTAGCTTACCTGTTCACTGCTTAGTTAGACTCCGAAACGTCAGTAACGTGTACCGGAATGTAGGGCGTAACTTTCCTGAAGACAGAATTCTTCACAGCCCCCGCTGTGAGAACCTCAATTCAAATCGAGATACACACTGTGCAGTTTACGAGTGTATCTCAGGAAATAATCCCGAATAGTGTCCATAAAATAGCGGAGCGTTCTTGATAGCGCAGAGTAGAATGTTGTGTAATGTTCAGGTTGCCTGGAGTTCATTACCATTAGCAGAAATTTAACATGGAAAGGCTAACTAGCACTCAACCCCCACACGAATACACGGGTAGACCGCTACATGCCATGGCATTTCCTTCACACAGAGATGAGCTATTGCGGTGCGACCTGCGGGCGTTTTAAACCTTAATAACGTCGTTAATTCACAACACTACAGATGTGTACTCTGTCTCTTGTGATGACTACATCAACTCCCCGCATATTTTACTATTTAAACTGGGGTTTCTCTTCTGTACACACTACACAAATGATTCTTTAAGAAGCAGTTTACTAACATTAAGTATATCAAATAAACTGAAGATATATAATGGGTGGCCGGTCACGGTAGCCGAGAGATCTAAGGCATGCACTGTCTTCGTTCGCTCGGAAGCCGGGATCATGGGTTCCAATCCCACTCAGGGCATGGATATTTAATGTTTGTATGTATATGTGCGTTTCTCTGTTTGTTTACATGTAGCGGCCTTGCAACGAGCAGATCGCCCGCCTAAGGAGTCCTACCGAATGTCTAAGATCTAGTAAACCAAGTGAAACGAAGAGTTTCGTGGAGGTAGGCCAAGGCCCAAAATGGGGTTGAAGCGCCAAAAGAAAATAAAATATAATGGGTCAGTCTACACAACAATAGTTCTGAAAAACACAAAACAGGTAGTACTGTGACATTTCTTTTATTTGCTTTCAATGGCAACGCTGCACGTTTCGACCCTTTTCTCGGGTCGTCTTCAGATGTACAAGAATACTAGTACTAGTTCCTGAATTGCGTCATTAATCAATATGAATGCACACTGTGTTTGTGTGAATGTTTATGCTAACAAATACATTTTAAATGTAGTTAACATATAGTTCAAAGACGGAGAACAGAGAACCCGTTCCCTAGCAGCTAGGTGGAGGTACACACACACACACACACACACACACATATATATATATATATATAGGAAGGAGACCACATAAATCTATTTTACATGTAGGCCATTAAAAAAAGCTTCGTGTAAATGAAGGCAAGGCGCGGGTTCGTGCCCACAGTGCAATGAAAAAGGTCAGGGATTTACTTGACTAGCAGAGCGACTGTTAGCTTCTCAAGACCGACTCTGCACTATAGAGATCTTTTGAAGTTGGTTAATTAATGTCAGAATCATGAAGGGGAAGGCGCAGGTGGGTGAACAATATTAAAATGGATCTCATAGAGATAGGATGGAATGGTATGGATTGGATTGATCTGGCACAGGATAGGGACCGCTGGAGGGCTCTTGTAAACTCGGTAATGAACCTTCGGGTTCCATAAAATGCTTCTCAAGAAGGGCTCAGCTTCACGAGTGATGATGATGAGATCCAACACGACCAGACCTGGGATCGAACCGGGCCGCCGCGGTGAGAAGCCGGCGTCTAACCGCCTGAGCTATGGTACGGTCCTCTGTTCCATGGAAATATCCATAAGCGCATTAAAACAGTCCTCAGGAAATTAATTTGGGACCAAGAGGATCTAACAGTTGTGAGCTGGGTGGGTGGTTTGTTTGTCAGTCGGTTGCCTGACGGTCAGAGAGAGGGGTTGGTAAGTCAATGAGAAATTTGGTGTGCCAGGCCGCTTGACTATGTTACTATAAAGTGTAAGCCGAAGTTTCCGAAGTTTACGAAATGAATTCGAAGTGAGGATGCAAAGAAATTGAAATCCGCAGTAGGTGAGAACATCGTAAAAATTTACGTTTTCTTTCTCTTGAATAGCAGTTGCTCATTTCTAAAACTACCATCGATTTATTTTAGTGCTAGACGTATGTAATATTAAGTCCAGAAATCCGTTTTGCGGATATGACATTACAGAAAAACTTGAAAGAATAGTAAAACCTTGAAATAACATTTATAGTAAGCCATAATTTCTGTCTTCTTAGGAGAAACTCTCAAAAGCTGTTGAAACGTTTACAGACTAAACCTGACAACACATACCTTCTTCTTTGCGATACGGACAACGAAAAAAAGTTGGATAACAACGAAACAAAAAGAAATAAGAAGACAGAAAGAGAAAAGCATTTATGATCGAATTTTGCTGGATGATAACCCCTCTTTTTTTCTCTAGTTGCGCGAATTTGCTCGCTTCAACACTCGTGATGCCTCAGGGGAACCCCTAGTGGTAATAGAGCCAACTACAGCAACAATACTGCTAACAATTGAACAACGAATCCTTGGAGATTGAAGAAAGAATAGGAAGAGATGGAATAACGATGACAGAAAGATCCGGAGAAAGAAAAAATAAATAAAATCGTGTTATGAGGCAAGAACGAAAATGTGATGTTAGAAATCAAGAAGTGGAGACACATCTCCAGAACAAGGAAAAAGAAAAACATATCCAAGTAGAGTAAAGGAAATAAAAATATTGGTTGAGCTGCTATGACAACATTGCCAAGGTGTGTTCGTTAAAGTCAAGCAGATATGCGGGACGGACCACAAGGGATTTTTGATATCCCACGCTCCCACAACGTTCACACAAATATTCTATATTTTAGATTCGTTCGCGAGATGTACCAAACTTTTATTCCGTTGTACTATTCTCTTATGGTGAAGCAACAGATACCACATCAAATGCAAATTATATAAATATACAAACAAGCCTACAGGTCTCTAATCTAGTAACATTTATACGAAATGAAATGTTTCTACCGTTTAACTGTAAGCCTGGGACAGGAATACATAAAGCAATTCCAAACATTAAAATAAAATTCCCATAATTAATTAATGTGACCGCCTCTGCGGTCAGAGTTCCGGGCTACATATCCAGAGGACCCGGGTTCGATTCCCGGCGATACCACAAATTTTCTGAGAAGTAGTGGGTCTGGAACGGGTTACACTCAGCCTCGTGAGGATAACTGAGGAGCTATTTCCATCCGTTGCGCTGACCACGCACTAACTTCGCCGATAAGCGGCGGCCTCTCGATCAGTATAGTTCGCTTGCGGACTACAGGCAACGGAGTTTGTTTCTTTAATTAATTAATATCAGCGGCACTGTAGTTTCAGTGCAAGGATTCTATTCAAAGAGAAGTAAATGGATTAAGTTGGCAGTGAAATATAATGTAAACCGAACCATAAAACTGGAGAATAGCAAAAGTAGCGATAATTCCCTATATCACTGCAAAAGACTACACGTAAACATAACGACTTCGGCTACATGCAAGAATGTTCGGTCACCCGAAAGACGGATACCTCCAGTGGGCGTAACATTAGCAATTAGTCAGCTACGTGAACTTGTTAACATGCCACTTATATCTACCGTTCCCTTTTTTACTTCAAAGCTGTTTAAACCATACCGAAAAGATTTTAATTTCCTTTAAAGGTCCGCATTTCAAATTTCATTTACATTCAAACTGTAGACACACACACAAACAAAAATGTTCCGTCGACTGTAATTTCAGCATAAAGGTGGAAAAGGTAAACAGAAATGGTAACGACAGAACCCATCATTTCAATCTATGTGCAAAAATGTACCATGGTTCTCTCCCCACTGTTCCTGTCCTTACACCAATAAGTACATGCTTTGGGTTATGCCCGAGCGTTAAATCTTCCAACTGGTGGGATTCGCGGTTCGAGTCCCGTCAGGGAAGCTGAATATTCTGGTTGAGGTTCTCTGTGATTCTCCTCAGTCACTCTAGGCAACACTACATCAAGTAAGGTCACAGCAACTCCCCTCCACTTCATTTCCAGTTCACTATTTACTAATCATCCCCCGAAAGGCGTCTCCACCTTGTCGTGGTGGTGGGACTTGCGTGACTCTGTGACCTGGAGAGCTATGCCGGCGGTAGTTTAACTACCGGTAGGGTCATCCACGCCGGAAAGGTTCAGAAACCTAACAACCAGCCTCGGATATGTGGAACATATGGGAAACGGACTAAGCAAAGGACAAGGAACAGTGATACGGCGATGGCAACGTGGAATGTAGGCACAGTGCTGCAACCCGGACAGATGCAGGAAGTAGCCCAAGAAATGATACGCTACAAAACTGAAGATAATGCAGTGCCAAAGAGAATGTTAAAAGGAAGGCTATATTCCAAAAGAAGAAAAGGAAGACCCAAGATGAGATGGCCAGACGGTGTTGAGAACGACCTGAAGAAGATGCAGGTGAAAGGGTGGATAGAGATGATGAGGAATGGAGAGCAGTGGAGACTGGTTATAGTGGAGGCCAAGGCTCACCCAGGGCTGAAGCGCCGAGCGGTAGGTAGGTAGGTATTTACTAATCATACTATCAATTCGACACTACCCAGTGTCCACTACCGACAGTCGCAAACAAACAAATAAATAAATAAGAAAATTGAAAACAGAATGATAACATCATGGCGCTAGAAAACGACTAATCAGTAAACGGACAAAACTGTATAAAAATTCGCTCAGACTTCAGTCTGCAAAAATGATCACTGAAACTGAGAAATCGGCCCTATGTTCCAAAGCGGGAGCGAAGAGGAAGAATATGTATATATATTATAACATTTACAAGCTTACTTCGCTTTAACATGCTTATACTATATTGCCTACATTCTATAAGTTTTATTCGCTAATAATCACAACTACAAAAATTACA